AACAACACTGCGTAGAATAGGATCTTTTCAATGACTCCATATTCGATTCGACCTAATTATTCAGCATCACCCCCTTGTCCACCTAGACAGGATCTCCGGCAACTCAGCTACCCAATCACTCCTTCAAACCATCTCTTACTCTAACCTATTCACCTTCGTCCCTCCATGATTATTTCACAATGAAAACATCATCACACACCAAAAACTCACAGGCCTCACCCACTCCCGTCCCCACGCCAGAGCGTATAAACTCCATCTGCCTTTCCTTCTACGATATTAACACACCCGAGGCCCCTGAACGCTTGCTACAGTCGCAAAGTCCAAACGCCCCGTCTACTTGGAATTCGAGTGCTGAACACAACCTCAACCAAGCACATTTGGCACATAATTTACCAGAACCGGCTTGAACCTACCATATTCCTATTATCACATCAGCGCAAAGTATATAGGAAATAGCCGTACGTCTAATCGCCTGGATGCGAAGAATTCGATGTATACTCGTGCGTTGGGTAAAGAGAATCACAGACGTATGATCCAGCGCCCTCATGTCATGTCTTTCAATACCATTGATCTCTTCGCGTGGGATACATGAGCTGTGATATGTCTTGTTTGCTTTGCAATGTTGTGGTCTGACTGCATCTGTTTTGATAGATACATCTAACACGTGTAGTTTTCAATTGAGGGGTTCCGGTTCAGCGTGCAAACCCAGCGTTGTTGATGAAGAGGAGTTCGTGCGGGTTGTCGATAGGAGTAATGACGATAGCGTTCATAAGCATAGGGTCATGGTAACTTAATTGCTGACTGTAGAAGACTGAGACATGGTGTGTGTGGATTGCGATGTGGATTTGATTGCAGAATAGGATTGGGCTTGATGAATATGTCGGTCTAGTAATGTCATGGATACTGTATGAGCATGTTCATGCATCAGTCGGTAATAGTTTCCCTGCTATGAGAGACAGCTGCTTTGGGAAGGCTGGGGTTGGTTATAGAGAATGCAGTGTGGTTGTTCTCCCATCAGTGTGTTTCATTATGAGGTAAAAGTATGCTCGTCGCTGAATCTAGTCAGGAAGGCACTCGAAAAGGAAGTGGTTGATGAGTAGAACAGGTCACGGACGTATGAGTAGCCAATTTATCCGTAGCAATAGTGTGATTGTAATACTAAAATGCCTGTGGATATATGTACCCTATATCTACCAATACTACAACAGCATTTTTCGTGACAAGACCTCCACGAAAATCATCCTTACTGAAATAGTGACTTGATTAACATGATGCAATCCAGGATACTTCGCAGCCAGCCTACCCGTATCATACCCACCCCGAAGTCCTTCAAAAAACTCATGATTCTGACGTCACTGATATAGAACAGCATGTTTCTGTATATGATGGGGGTAAGTCGTATCCACTGCCAAGGTTCCTTCTTACTTGCCTACTTTACCCAGGACCCACACGTTGTGTCCATGTTCCCGCGTCATGTACAAAATTCCCATCGAAAAAACGATGCTGCGAGGGCAAGAAACCCGAGTGACGGTTCGGTAGATGTACTCCTTCGTACCTGTGAAAAGTTCCCGAAGAGGACTTTTGGACCAAGGGAACCTCATCCTGGGCTCTTACTGTTTGAGCAATTTATAGTCTGTCCAATCGCTTGGGGCTTCCCAACGATGCCTAGTGAGTTTCGGCTTGCCGATCCGTTCAGTGTGCCATGTCTGATCATGTCTTGTCGAGCCTATATTGTATGCCTACAAGTTGTGTAACTTGCCATCATGCTGTGATGATCTGCTCTGGCAGGCCCGTGCAAGTCTCGTATACGGGAGGCGGCATCTTCGAGGTGAGCCCCGAGAAGCGAGACAATACTAGGACCAAGCGGCCCATGCGTCCGGGAACAGCAGAACACGATGACAGTCGACGCCCTCGGCCTGAGACAAATTGTGAAAATCTACTCTAAAGTGTGGTATGCAAGCAAGCCATATCTGCATATCCTCCCGCCGCTACAATCTGCACCATGATATCTGGGAACCTATTTTTTTGACTTGTAGAGACAGCGACAAACCATCTTTCCAATCCGAAGATTCTCGGTAGCCGCAAACGTAGCTACGGCACGGCAACGTAATTGTAAGCGAGATCGATTGGCACGACGCGAAGACTGGCGCATAGGCGATACGTGCGGCGCGGCAGGTCGAAACAAACTTTCGGTACATTGTTGCGCGAACACTGTTTATGGGTGGCATAGCCCGTTGCAGTGGCTGCGACTGCCGTCTCCTCCTTTGAGCGTTGCGGCTCGAGGCGAGGCGGGGTGCTGTAAGTAGCGACAGCCTGACCAACACGATAGCACCGGGGACGGGATGGTAGTGACATTGTTGGTAAAGCGGCGTTGACATGCTTCCAATTTGGAGTCTCTGTGCAGGCCGTGTTTGTTGGGAGATGACCAGGAATAGGGCCTGCCACATGCAGTATGTACATGAGGAAATGCAGCGTTAAATTACTATGGTCCGAGCCGTAGAAAGGATCTTTTCACATGCAACTGAGAGTGAACCTGGTTGGACTCAGAGAGTTCGGTAGCTTTCAATTTAATCTATACACATTAGTATCAGCTCTCGAAGCTTGTAGAAGACAGAAAGAGAGCGGCGCATCTACTGTTACGCAGGATTGCGAAGACTCTAACGATCAAGGTCTTGTGTCCTTTCAGACCTTCACCCTGCAGATAGACGCAGTAGAGACTGAACGTCTACATTGCAAGAAAGGGACCAAATACGACACAAGGATCTTCAATACGTGTCATCTCCATGTACATATCGAAGAGCGGCAAGCCTAGGCGGGCCGAAGCGGATATGAGCGCGAGGGGTGCCCTTCTGCGTACCTGCAGGGCCGATACCGTTGGAAGCAATCACAGCTGGCTTAACATGCATTATCGACTGCGCAAGATGTTGGTTCGGCTGTGTACCTAGCGGCTCGTGAAATCTTCCATATGGATCGATATGAACAACCGCGTTGATCCTGCATTAGTGCAAATCGCCGGGTTCGTACGTAATGTCCAACAGAAAGTATACGCATAGAGTATATTCTGTGCACCCTTTGGAACCAATGTATCTGATCAAGCTTGCGAGTTAGCGTTGAACTAGCGACACAGGATCGAGGCAATCTCCAGATTCTGCACGAACTCGATATCAATAGGGCCATTATGCTCCACTTGTTGCTGTTCGTCGGTATGCCTAGCGGAGTGCAGAAAAAGTAACTTACTCGATGATAGTCTGGCCGTCTTGGCTACGGTGATCGGAGATCACCGTTTCTCAACCTGGCTCGTGGACCGCAGCCGTTAAGACCGATATTTTATGCACCTAGGGTTGGCGAAAAGACATTGTTTCCCAGGATGCCGTTGCTGTTACAATTCGTGGCCTAGCCTCGATTCGTTGAAGAACGACTGTCTAGACGAAGATTTGGCCAAGAAGTGGAGGCACCTGACACTGTTGCCAATATGTCAAAAACCTCCAAGGTCTAGCTTGGGCAGCAATCCGGTCCAAGATTCTTTCCGCAGCCTGCACTTTGGGGACCAGAGGAAGGATTGCTTTTTTTTGTAGCAAATGACCCTTCGTGCGTCCTCGGTGCAGAATCCTTGCTTTGTCTTTATGAATTTACCGAATTTATATGAGTAAAAACAAAGGTGTGAAAAAGCATGAGCTGAGGGAAAGATTTCTTCTGCGCATGCATGTTGGGGTTAGGCTGCTCCGCAAGAGACAAGAGTGATCTTCGCTGTGTTCGGAAGTCTGCCAGTAGGAGCACGAGCATAGCGGGGGCATCTTGACAATCCTAGCACAATAGCTCACTAGTGATGCCTAAAAGATGCCAATGAATGACAATGAGATCTGAAGGGCATGCCCGATGTATGCTGCACGACATACAGAGCTCCTCTTCTTTCCATCGAATCAATGCCTTGTCGCTCGTACATAGCGCACGATCTGCAGCCAGGGCTTGTGTCAAAACAATTGGATGCCGAAGTGAAGGATAAGCAGGTAAAAGGCCTCAGTTGAGAATAGCGGATAGTCAGTCGAGTAGTGCCGTTGATGATGTCCGGTACATGGTACAATGACGGTGAAGGGTGTGGAGGGTGAGCCATGACGAAAGGGGCCGAACTGAGTTGCGCTAGGTCATAAGCAGTTACTGCCACAACCCCGCCCCCACCTTCCTTCCGAGACGAATTTGGCAAAAAAATAATTTCCTGCGATACTTGACATCGGTCGGATGGCGAGGTGAAGCCAAAAGTTACACAAACATGCCTGGGCTAGACGAAGAAGCAATCGACGACATCTTGTATCTGGCCCGTACCAATGAGGCGGCTGAGCTAGAGTCATATCTCTCGGAGTTGTCGGAGAAGACGAAAGTTTCGAAGGCAGAGTTGTTGACCGAGGCCGTTGACCCGTACTCGAAGAACACTGCCCTGCACTATGCTGCTGCAAACGGACATATAGGTAGGATTCTGGTTATTTGGCATTTGACAGTATATAGCTGACTGCTGTTGTAGATGTAATCAAGTTATTCATTGCACCTGGTACTAATATTCGCGCACCTGCATTCATCAACGCCGTCAACGATGCAGGGAATACTGCGCTGCACTGGGCCGCACTCAACGGTCATATCGAATGCGTCAAGCTCTTGGTTGAGGCAGGCACAGACGTAACCCTCATCAACAAAGCAGGACATGATGCCGTCTTCGAAGCAGAAATCAACGATAAGGGAGATGTGGTAGATTGGCTGCTTGGAGCTGTTGAGGAGCTGGAAACCGGTATTGGACAGACTGATAAGGGGGCTGCTAGGGATGAGGACATGGAAGATGCAGATGGTGACGGCGTAGCGGATACGGATGTTGGGCAGGCTGATGCATCAGCTGGGTCTTCCGTGGAAGGCGTGAGGAAACAAATAGAGGACATGAGCACCAAGCAGGGCACTTCAAAAGATGGTTGAGCAGGACGGCTATGTCGGTTCAATATGTTTATATTGCGGACATTATTCGATTCTGCCAGGACCCGCGGATGCCTACTATACCAGACAACATATAGCAAGGTCCTCCACGTGGTACAACCCCTACGTCAGCCGAGTTCAAGCGCGGGGGAGGGAGGGATAGCGACACTCGAAACAGTACTCTCAAGAGACGGTACACACATAAGCAAGAAGGATCCAATTAGGGTCGAGGACCAAACAGAATGGGAATGTACAAACGTGTCATAAGCTTGTTTATGAAGTATGCCAATCCTTGGCTGGTCGTGGGAGTTTCGAATTTAGAGTACCCGAGCTCTTCAGCGCAATGCCAATTTTCCCAAACCCGAGTCATCCGCTAAAGATCTAGTGGAGAAGATGAAGAAAGATAGATCCGCCATGTCGTAGAAAACACAAATTCAGTGCATAGCTGGATCCTACAAATAAACGCCAATGTGATGCCCTATACAAGGGGTGTAGAGCCAATATGGGTATCATGCCTACCTTCAAAACGCCTGACAAGATGTTCAAACTTAACTCTCTGTTAACACCTGATCCGTGTTAGTGGATGTGATGCCTTTGTTGTTTGCTTTCCTTACATAATCAATCTCTCAACCAAGCACGGCGCTTCTCTTCCTTCTTGTCGCGGCGCTTTTCTTTGTAAGCCTTGAGCTCCTGCTTACTGAGATGCTTTCCACGACGCTCAGCTTTGAGGCTCCGGCCATCGTGGCTGTTTGCAGCCGCATCCACATCGAAAAAGGCAGACATCTGACGCTTGCTCTTGTTCTCGTCATTATGCAGCTCAGGACCCATGTCCGCTGGCTGAAATTTGCCGGTGAACCTGTTGAACTGGGCAGTGGTCGTGTAGTCGTGTGCAGGAACTACAGGACGGCCAGCTGCCAGAGCGGCAGCTGCGGCAGCGGCTTGCTCAGCTGCTTCTTCCTCCTTGGACGCCTCTATAGCATAATCGGCGTTTGGATCATAGCTGCCATGAATGGCCGGATTGTAGCCCCCCCACTTGCGTTTAGGAGTAGAACTTGTGCCAGGCGCACCCGATGCTGTCGATACATAGGCTGCACCACTATAGCTTTGCCTACAAGGGTCACGTATTAGGCTATGAAAGAGACAAAGAGATGGTAGTAGTTAGCAAACCTGTCATACGAGCCGTAGTAGGATGAGGCCGAAGGGACGCGGGGGTTCTCCCACTGGGACAGTCCAGTCTTGTGGTTGTAGAAGTAGTAGTTGCCATGCTGGTCGAGCAAAGCCTCCCAGCCATCGTCCTCTTCATCGGGACGTGGCTCGTTGGGCAGGGGAGGAGCGTCCTCATCCGGGAGGGGCGGGTTGGCGTCTGGTGCGTCATTGCCGTTGTCGTCTTTGGTCGCAGCCTTTTCCACTGCCTGTGCGGGTGACACGTTGCTGCCCTCGTGGCCAGTGCTGTCACTACGGGGCGCATCGGAAGTTGGTGAGGGATTCCGCGCCGGCGCCTCGTCGTTGGATTCGGCGGGCATTATTGTGGATCTATGCTTGTATCTGTATGATATTTGAATTAGAACTGGTGCGCTAGGAAGAGCAGGTTGTGTGGTCTGCAAGCTGCCGCGGTGTTGACGTGTTGTTGTGAGAGCAGGCGTTGTTGTTGCAGATATTGGAACATGGCCTCGGCGCTAGTGCGGGTACCGTAAGTGGCTTGGCGCGGCATGCAGACCACACCTGAAGTCCAACTTCCCAATTCTTGCTGACTCAGACGTCTTGAGGGGGAGAAGAAGGCTTTTTCCCTTTTACTGTCTACTTCTTTCCTGTACATGGTACACACATGCACTGTTACCTTTTGCAACAGTGCTCTACCGTCGATCTGCTTGTGCCTGCGCCATTGTCTCCCCCCTGTCCTTATTTGCTGGGCCCGTTCGCTTGAGCCATCGCCTTTGAACGAACTTTCTCTCAGACGGGCAAAGGCCACATGATCCGGGTGTCATGGCTTCTCCTGCAGACAGGCTGGATGGATCGACGGAGCATCTACTTACATCAACTGCACTCCAAGCATATTACGTATGTGGATGTGCAGTTCGAGGACCAGGTTTCGAAACAGTAAAGTCTTCGAATCCCGGGCCAGCGCCATCGACGTCCAGCAAAACGTCTTTGGACTATACAGGCATGCCGTCCGCCCCTTGGCAGAACTCCTTCGTACCTACTGATGGTTTATGGTACATAATGCTTCCGGCCACTTGCATGAACTCGGAAACCTGCAGCTGTGTCGATACTCCGACCGACCGTACAGCCCCATGTGCGTTCGGCACCAGCCAAGCTCGCTCCATGCACGTAAGGCCGAGGCGTTAAAGGGCCCGGGAAGGGGGCAAGTCCCGCACTAGAAATCGAGATGGCTCAAATCGCTCAACGGCTGCTGTGAGCTCGTTCCGATCGGATTCAGCGCTGCTTTAATCTTCGCCGCTCAAGCACTTTGAGCATGGTCCACTACTTACTACCTCAGTATGTACCATGTATGATGGTATGTACAGTCGGTGACAGCAATGCAACCCACCTCGACCACGCTGTCATGGCCATCATCCCCATTTGATGAAGACGCCATCCATGGTAGTCTAGGGCCGGCAGTCGTCTGTCCTGCAATACAGGCATTAATGTTGCTTATTTGCTTCTCTTGAATCGAAGCATCCTTCACAATTGCTGCGGAGAACAGGCCGTAGCGTGCTCCAGTAGCTCCGCTCAAGCCCTCGAACTCAATCTGAACGAAGCTCATTGGCCGGAACTGCATCACGGGCTTACCATAGGTAGTAGAAGCCAGGTCCAAAGAAAGGATTGCCGGCAAAATAGGTCTATGCATTCCCCTTCCACGCCGCAGTGCATGATCTGCACCCGTCATCAGCGCGTTAGCTAGCAAGACGGTTGGCCAGCTCCTGTTGGTCACGATCTGGGGCCAGTGTCCACACCCCGTCCACAACCAACAGCACTTGCTCATGCACTGTCTGCCATCTCGCGCGACAGAGCGCTCCAGAAACACGCTACGAAGGTTTCTGTTTGCCACTACTCGATTGTCTGTAGCCCATGTTCCGGCAGGCTTGCTGACAACCCTTGTCTGTCCCAGCATATTCGGGTCTCAAACCGCAAAAGCTCCACGGCCATGTTCCTGGCTGTCCGTTGATGCACACCACGGGGGAAACGACTGCTCTAGCTGCAGTGAGCGCCGTCGTCGCCCTATTCTGAGGCCTTCTTTCACTAGGGCTTCCTGGCCTGTTGTCCACTTATGGCCGAAGACGGAACAGCATGTCCTTCTACTTTCGTCTTTGTAACCTGCTTTCACCATATTTGTTTCTGTAACCCTCTGCCCTACCCCCAATAAGCTAGCCGTGTGGGATTCAGTACCAAGACTCACCCGTGACTAGAGTGCCTACTGTATTTGCGCCGCACCTTTGCAGACCCTGTAGCTGTAAGTTGCCTCCCGCGTTGCACCCCACCCCTACATACCCCCTTCCTTGCCCTACTGCGCTGCGCTTCGGCTACGCTTCGCAAGGAGCCGGGAGTGTACTATTGTCAGACGTCAGCCCTGCACGGACTGATTATACTTTGGCCTATTTTCTAGAACCTTGCCATCTGCAATACGTCCTAGCGAATATACTATAGTAGGCGAGACGCTTCCACTTGCGCCCTTGTTCGCTGGCCACCTGCCCAATTCATCAAGTACCTTTATGTACCCGACTTTTGGGTATCGATGGATGCTGTGATTGCATCAGTGTCGAGCCTAGAGCAGTGTCTACATTTGGATTTTCCTAGGCTGTTCACTTTCCTTGCAATCCCTAATCTTTCGTGTGCTGGCTCAAGAGGTGTTTCGTACTGGACAAGCCACATCAGTCGGACTCACCCAACATCAGAATACATCACTGTCAATTGCTATGCTCATCAACATGAGCCGTCCGCCTAGCATACCCTCACATCCGGGTCCGCCACCCTCATACACCCCCTATCAATCCACTCATGCTTTGTCGTCGAGGCCAGAGTTGATCACATCTGATCATCAGGGTCGTCCTAGGGATCACAATCGACATCAGCATAATCCACCCCAACTACCGAGTCTCCGCACTCTTCTGGAACCGGAACTGCTCGACAAGAAGTCTTCCATCGCACCATCGCGGTCAAATAGAAATCCAGGCGCCTACGGCTCGTCCTCGCGCTACGGATCTTCAAGCCCGACGTTAAAGAGGCGGCATGAAGCTGATGCTCCTTCCCGAGGATACCCAGAACACAATGCTATCGTTTCTCAAACGACATACCACCAACGTCCGACTCCATCCATTCCCCACACCGATTCGCAGTCTACAACTTCTTCAACATCAAGCTCTGCCTTCCAGCATAGTCGATACGAGCCTCATCGTCGCAATAGTCATGTACAACATTCGCATCATGGCTCAATGGGTACAGACTACAGAATGCCTTTGTCTACGAAAGAAACATTGGGGCCAGTTGCAAATCATGCCGCACAGGATGAGCTAGCGGACCCAGACAGGCCTGTGAGACGACGGCTCGATGGTTCTTCACGTGCTCCTATTCGGGCGTCACGATGTATTGGCCAGCGCGACATCCCAGGCGAGGGTGTCTGCTATGTGTACGAGGACGGGACTTACTGTCGCGCAATTATCGATGGAGAGCCGGTCAATCCGTCTTGGGGCATTACAAAAGCAGGCAAACCACGGAAAAGACTCGCCCAAGCCTGCCTTACTTGCCGCGAAAAGAAGATTAAATGCGAGCCGGGATTCCCAAAATGCCACCAGTGCGCGAAATCGCAAAGAGTATGTCGAGGGTGAGTTCTTGTCCCGCCTTTCTTCCGGCACTGCTTCCGTTCTTCCAGAAGCGGTGGTGTCGCATTGATTATATGGTCTCGTATACCCTTCGACCCGAGTAATTTCGTTTGATGTATCAGGATATGATGAATTCTAACCAATCTCAGTGGGCTTAATCAGGCAGGCACAGACAATGCGTCTGGTGAGACATCGCCATCGAATGCCATGCCATCATATAAGAATTCGTCGCTCGAAGGTCCAAGTCCCACAGCGATCTCATATCGAAATAAGGCTCCTGGAGAGCAATCGGAACCAACTACGAAACCTGACGTTTGGAGTCTAAGCACACCCTTACGGCCCCGACCGTTTCGCACTAACCCAAACGCGGGCTCGAGAGACATGTCTGTACAATCAGAGCAATCGGACTGGAGTGAATCCATGACCGAGCAGGGTCTCGATGATCCGCGACGTGGATCTTACCAGGACCGACTAGCCATCCAATGGGAGCAAGATCCCTTTGAAACAGATCCCAGGCTTACCATGCACCTTCTTGATCTGTACTTTCTACACGCTGGCCGCGCGACCTATGGAATATTTCCTCGCAGACCCTTTCTTGCATGGGTTGAGTCCAATCGTGACAAGGACCAAGACTCCTTGATGCTCATATACTCAATCCTAGCTATGGGCTCGCTGTATTCGGCTGATCCGGACAAACGTGCTTTAGGAAAACGGTTTGCATATATTGCTTCTTATGCAGCAGAGAGGCGTTTCGGCAAGTTCAGTCTACAACTATGTCAAACACGACTACTGCTTGCACTTTACTACTTTGCTCGAGGGAAATCACAGGAAGCTTGGGACTTTTGTGGAGCGAGTCTCCGTGCGATTGCTGCTCTCAAACTAAACACTGAGGAAGGCGTGAGAGAGCTCACAGAGCACGCGCGAGACCCCATCTTCCATTTCGATCGCTCAACCTTTGAAGAATGCTGTCGTCGTACTTTTTGGTCTGGATTCTTGATGGAGGTAAGTTATGGGCTGACTCCTACCAGTAATCCGCTACTGACTGACTGACTGACTGTGCGATAGCGATATCATGGATTTCTCGGTGGAACTTTGTTTGTGATCAGCCTCGAGGACGCTTTTGTGCGTCTGCCCTGTCGCGACAGCATGTATGAAGCAGCAACGCCGTCTGAATCGCCATTCTTCGAGGAAGCCCTTTACAGTGGACAAGTCCCTGCGAACACACCTTTATTGGGGGACATGGCGTACTCATGCCTTATCGCAGCGATATTTGGCGATATTTTCACCTTTACAGAACGATCAGTTCGCCGGCCCGAGTACGGGTATGAAGCACATTACGAGCAATTTTACACGAGGATTTACGAAAGGCTAGCAGTATGGCGGAACATATTGCCTGCCAACCTCCGATATAGCCCCCAAAACTTGGACGCCAGCACAGTCGAAGGCAATGCAGGTGCTTTCATTTCCATACATGCACTTCACCACGCAGCGCTCATTCGTCTCAACCGCCACGTTCGCGTACGTGCTTTATCCACAGACAAGTTACAGCGCAACGTCAAAGAAGCCATTCGCAACGCATCTATTGTGCTATCGATGATGCATTCACTGGCCGCAATCAACCGTCAACGACGTCTGGCAAACGGTACCTCCTCTGAATTCCCTTACTCGACGCCATTTCCCGGCCACGCACTTGTTCAGTCAATAGACGTGCTGACCTCGGCTGGTACCTTCTCTACATTGCCAGACCTACTAGCATCCATGACTGCGACAATGTCAGGTATGGATGAGCTGGTCGACTTCTGGAAATCGGCGCAGCCACAACAAATAGTGATTACCAACCGTCTCAGGCAGTTGTCAGAGGCCGCTGGACAGGAGCAGCGAGGTATTCGGAATGGGAGCCACGGATCTTGCTGGAAACTTCCCGCGAGCATGGAGCCAGCCCTTGGAAATGACGATGTGCTGTACAAGGTCGATGAGCAATTGCTGCTCGATGTGGTCGGGCAGTTGGCCAGTCACACCTAATCAGCACATGGGCTGTCACAGGGGTCTTTTCGTGTGCTAAACCACGGCAATGCTACCAAGTTCCCCGAGTACTTTTCAGGTCACTGCTCAGCAACCTGGTCTAATCCTTTACGCCCACAAACTTCAGTCATCACATCATCCTGGACATGAGACATTACGGATCACTGCACGCTACCTTTTCAGCTCATTCCAAACAAATCACGTTCAATAATCTAAACATGTACATCTGTGTCGTAAAGATGGGCTACATACTGCCGTGCACTGTCGTGGAACCATTGTATACCCATCTCTATGGCCTGTTACTGGACCCGCTGCGTAGCCATGAAAAGCGTGCAGCGGTCCACATGCCGGCACTGTAAACAGTTCGGACGCAGTGTGTCCGCGTTGCAAATGTATATATCTGGGAAACCAAAAGTAGGAATTCTAGGTTACAATCCTGATTCCTGAATTTTCGATTGATAGTAGCATAGCAGAACGGACATGTTCGGTTCGATTGTTGTAGTAACAACCACTAGTACGAAGATCCATGGTACCGGAAACAACCACATATGCTGTGTGAACGCTCATTCCAACGATGTGGCAGACCTGGCCGATAAAGTCCAACTCTGATTGGCCTGGGGTCATCCTATCTACAAAGAGATGACGCCCGGTGACCTGGGTCCGCTCACAGAAGGTTTGTCGCGGTGGATCAAAATCCGTGCAAATGCTGTAAGACTATGGACAACTGTATTTGCCATCTCAGCTTCCATGTGGCGTCAATGCAGTGTCTGTGCTTGGAGATTCCAATATCACCTCGGGTGTCACTCTTGTCCATGCTACGAAATCACTGCCCATGCATTACGGGTACCACCAACATTCGACTAGTAACACAAATGATGTATTAGCCCCCCCACTCATGCAACACGATTCCACACCGGTTACTCAACCACGGCTCTTCCTTCCACTACCACCGACGGTCGTCCCAAGCTCAATGGAAACACGTGGGGAAAACACTCAAGCTGCGCAGAAGCGTCGATCACGTAGAGTGTCCCAGATTCCCGAGTCCTCGCCTGACTAACCCCATATCCCATGGCTATTAGAACGACCCTTTTCCTTGGATGGCACGGCGGACAGCAATCGCCCCTCCGCAAAAGCAGCGCACGAACTTGGTATCTTGGTTCCCAAAGCGGGGCGAGGCACACATCCAAGCGCAGCTTTGGCGGACAACCCGAGCCGACCACGGAACCATGCATGCGGTTTGTTCCCGTGGATCTTCTCGGCAGTTGTGGTTTACTTACCGGATTTGAGACCCTTACTATAGCATCCCTTGCACCCTACCGATGGATTCGCGTGTCTGCATTGCACACGTGAGGCTCCTCTTTGCGACTTGAAATCCGAGCTAGATGGGGTCATGTGCCCCATTTCATGAGGAGGATGAGCCACCAGAGCTGTTGGTGGAGACAATAGGCTTTGCCAAAGAATCGAGGGGGGGGGGGAGTTTGATAATGGCTAGCTGGTGGGCGGAAGGATCGCTTCGTTCAGTAGAGTTGGTTATGCGGCAAGCTGCATGTGACATGGGCTTGATACTGTATTTGGACTGCGTTAGTAGACAGCATGCACAGGAGGCATGGCGTCTTTGTCGTTAGATATGGGTTGGAGCAGTAGGCACTGCAGGAGATAGGTCCGCCGTACGCCTCAAAAGGCAAAAATAGCTGACTCCCAACCACCAGTTCCGAATATGCCAACAATCGTCTCGCTCTCCACCCCCCTTCCCCTGCCCCGCCCTGCCAGAAAGTGTCTGCAAGCTTCGGAAACCTTGAGTGTAATACAGAGTATGTATGGACCCCTCTTCCTGTGGCCCGGCTCTTGAACCCTTTTTCCGCCCGAGCCTTCACGGCTGCGTGCGCACGCTACACATAATGCTCCGCACATGCAACCTGGCAACACCTATCCCCTATAGCGGTTTCTCGGGGACTTTTTGAAGCCAGAGTTTCATCGGCTCTTCTGCCCAGGTAGAGGAACTCGCCTGTGTGATGTCATCATTGGTGGGAGAAGGGGCCCCGAAAGCTTATTTCGAAATACGTATTGCATTAGTCGCTCTGGTAGCTGGGTCAACAAGGCGTGCAGTGTACCAGTTTACCAAGTTGATATTCGATCGCCGTGTAGCTAACACGGAGGACCTTGTAGCGAATGCCATTCAATTCGTCACAACAATCTCCCTCTCTCTCCATCTGGAAACGTCGTTATGCGGACGCATGCAAGAGCGCGATAGTTTACATGCTCGATTGAAGCTGTAAATCGAGAACGAGCCCACAGAGATCGGCTGGGTGAATCACGGGCTCAGGGTGGTCTAGATGTATGTTTAGCACTGCCACGCGTGTCGTAGATGGCTGCCGGGTTTCCCTTATTGTGGGTGAGTCTAAGGCCAGGAATATGTGCGCAGTGACTGGCCCTCACAAGGGAGAGATGAATGGTACGCGCCATGTGTCGGCTGTGTGTGGCTTTCCGGACCACCAACAACGCCCCAATACCTACACTACGCCTTCAGTAGCAAGGGCTCATCTAGCATCGTTGCATCTGCCAGTACGCCTGACAGATCGCAGTCTAGCTCTATCGCATATGTCGAAGCTGTGGTTCTTGGCGAATAGGCCCGTCTTGACAGCAACTTTGATCGGGATTCACCGAACGTCGAGACCACTACCTTGCATGTACGTGCTCGTTAGCAGCAGAAACCACATCACAAGCTACGCTATCGAAAGCCGAACTGTAAACTCCCTAGTCCAACGTCAGACATACATGATCCCCCCTTCTCATGCCCTTCCCCCGCACGAAACAACCGCTCAACCAGAGTACCAAGGGCTGGGCATCAACGATGCCCCAGATCGTGGCTCTGTGCTTATTTGCAAGTGCCTAAACTATACTCGAAAGTTGGTAATGGCTATGTGGCAGGAACGGTAACCTCAGCATCGCTCAGATTACCATATATGTAGTAGTAGTCCCCTCAGCGCAAATCACATGTTGACGCATGAACCCACTCAACAGCAACGGAAGTCGTCTCCTGCACCATGGTCCAAGAGCTTCACCATTCTACTCGTCGGTCTTGCCCTACCTTGTGAAATCTTGTCTCAGGTGCATGTTCCAATCAAGTACGTCACAATCACCACCAGCCTGTGTGGAGAAGGCTCGTGTGCCAATAATTACCCTAAATCACACTGTATCAAAACTCAATTCATCTTTAAAACTGTGCCCGCGCGTCAATCGCTTAGGTATTGCACATGTCTATCTGGCTGAATTCGCAACTACACAATGTCGGAAACTTTCGACAGGACCCTGCGAAAGCCTACCTAGTGTGCGATCATCGCTGTGGAAGGTTTATCCACTGTACCCGTATTCTCCCGCCTCCGAATATCTTCGCAAATTGCGACGTGGGCGTGGGAGCGAAAAAGGGTTCTAGTGAGCCGGGCAGCAAGTAGGGTAGGAGTGTGTGGGCTGGCGATGCGTTGTGCGCTGGTATCGTGGGGGGATTGAGCTACGGCAGTGCCATGGACTTTGGGCTGGGAGAAACTCTGCTGGGATGATGGAGGTTGTGAAGATCTGCTTTCTTGTCACAAAACAGTGTGTCCTTTTTGATGATTGAGAATTAGGATATGCGATGTGAAGGATTTGACAGCGAGGAGTCATTGAAGTTTCATGGATGGAATTTGCATGATTATTGTAGTATCTGACCTCATGTTGTTAGTGAATTCTTTGAGTTTAGACATTATTTTGATAGAATGTACTTACAAGCCTGGTCTTCATGTAACAAGATGGGTAGCAGACTGCACTCCCTTTGCAACGACCAATCGCAATTCTCCCCACACTTGAACACACACAATGTGTTCCCTCATCTCTTTACCCCTCTGCACAACTCCACAAGCAAGACACTCACATAGACTTCAAAAATTACTATAACTACCATCACCAACACCAACACATCCACCCCATACCCGCCCACCGCCAACATGGTCCTGGTACACACTGTACGCATGACCAACACAAAGAAAACACCCAGTTCACTTAGAATTCCCCAGACGTGTTATAAACAGTAAAACTGATACAAGTTTAGTTATCCATCTCGTCCAACTTCTTATCACAGTACACACCTGAACAGCCAGATTGTAATCCTACCATACCTATTTACGATTTACATAGAATATAATCACACTAGAACGTGAGCGTGACAGGACACATTGCAAACTGCAATTCTATGTATTCCTCTCTCTTCTACCCTCCAAACCTATCCCAACGCTCCACCTCTACTCCCCTACTACTACTAAACTATCCACACA